GTGGATTTCATCAAGGATGCTTCAGCTCAATTATCAGCTGATTTTTTCTGGCTGTGGAAACATTATAAGTCCTGAAATCTCTCTGCAAGCCAGTCAAGCACTAATCCTCCCAATGTTCAGTGTCACTCTATCCACCCAAACATTTCCAAAGCTCCATACTGCACTCATTCTGTGTCAGTATGGAATTCTCAGATTCCCAAGGTAAAATATGTGACATACTTTGATACAAACACTGATGACAAAAAATGAACATGGAAGAGCAGTCAGAAAGTTGTCCACTAAAAAGCTGTCAAAAATATACATTACAAATACGTTGTAGGTTTTTTGTCTAAATTATTTGGCACAGTCTGAATACAACAACAGTGAAACAGTGAACACAGGGTCCTTTGAGTGGTTCCCTATCGGTATTGCAACAACAAAAAATAACCCTGGGGCTCGGTTAAATTCACTGCTGTTTTAAAATGGCCCCAATGAAGCCAAGGAATATCCTCCATGTGCTTGCTGTGGGCCCTAGACTTGACCTCCAAGGGAGCTATTCACGTCATTACTAACAGGATCAAGTTTCTCTGTATGCCTTGGGTTTGTGTGACAAAAACATTAAGGCATTAACTGCCTGCACGAGTGAGCATCTACGAGTATACAAATCTTAAATCTGAAAGGCTGTATAGGAGGTACTGGAAAAATCTGAATTAGGAAAACTGTTGAACCGGCGATGCCAACATACAGAAGCAGCTATACAAGTGCCACCACTCACTCACTCGCAGGTGTAAGACAAAGCTTGCAAGTGGGATTGTGGGTAGCTATGAAATAAAGAAAACTGAAAGAGCTGCTTAGCATGCTGCAGCGCACCAGCTAGCTTCTGCAGCAGAAATAAAACATGCAATTTCATTTAAATAGGCCTTTGTATGACAATGTATTTCAAGACAAATTTAACAAGCTTGCAGAAAGCAATAGAAATAACCTTTCGCTAGAGGTTTTTGGTTTGACTCCAGCCAGTCAAAATGTGTTTTTTATCCAGGTCATGCTATTAGCCGTTATAATGACCAGTATAAAGAGTATGGGCAATAATACACTGTTTTTTTAAGTACTTTGGGACTTTAATTAACCTTGGAAACCGATTGTTATAATCTGGAAAGGTTTTACGCGCAGCTTACAGCAGCCTGTGTTTGACAATAACAATAGTCACATTTTAACTGTAGAGCACGTTAGCTAATTGGAGATCCAACAGAAATGTCTGCTGCAGACATTTGCTCATGGCAGCAGATGATGAAGTGTGGATGAGCGGGCCAAAGCAGAGTATACTGGCTGGAAAGCATTTGAATGTGTCAGTGTAATCCTGCTACAAGAATTCAAAAGAGGTACTGCAGGTTCACCCTTGGAAGACAAACAAGACAGTAACATAGAGCCTCCCAGGGGCCATTTCCTCTATTCCATATGAAGCCCCCTCCCACACAGTAAATCAGGAAGTCTGTGTGAGTGACGGTTTGTTTAGCTCACATAAACATGTAACACCCTTAGAAACCACAAAGCCTCTTTCCCCTGTCTACTCTCTGCAGCTCACGCTGCCAGTCACTGCACACAGACAAAGGTCCCCAGATGCTGCTTCTGAAGACCATGACAGGTTTCATCAGGCACCTTGTGTGCTGAAATTACACTGGAGAGGGGGGAAAAAATGACCCTCCATAATGTATGAGGTTTCACGTCCCCGAAACTGAATCCAGAACCTGAGGGGAGCACCTTCAGACTGGTGCATATGAACATCATTGTGCTTTTGTGTAATAGGATAACTTCAGCCTGGGGTAAGCAGACAGGAAAAAACAAATAATGTATACTTGGGTTGCTGATTTGCTGAACACAATGAACGTCAATGAGAATGAAGGACAGTAAAAGATGCTGTAGGAACATGGAATTGGTGTTCCCAAGACAAGGAACATAGGAGGTAAATCAATATGAAGCAGGCTACAGAAGCCCAGTGTGGCTTGATGATTTATGAGGGGTGAAGTTTCATGAGAATCATCATTACTCTTGTGACCGTGTATTGGGCGGCCTTTGCACTCATCAGAGTTGGTTGCCAGCAGTGTTTACAGGAGGGAGGATCGGTTAAACACACATACATACATAAAAATACTGTATTTTTTATACCTCTTTATTTTCAACACAAGTGTTTTGTAAGCTGCTGGAAACCCAATTTACTTGCTGGAGTCATCCCAAAAGGATCAATAAAGAGAAGTCTAAGTCTAAGTCATATAATCACTGCAAACTTGCCATAGAGTGTCACCACAGCCATTTTAATATCACAAAAACTGCTCCTAAATGGAAGGCAGAAAGACAATCACCACTTTCGTTTGACTGCAAAGAAGTGATCCTAAATTTAACCGCAATGTACCACAGAGCTACTGTACTGCAGTATCAGCTACAGTGTGAATGAGATTCCACTGGCACAACCTTAAATGCCATTCCTGTAGGAACAGATCCACCATCCCATGGAGATTGCAAGGGCTTTGGAAGCTATGCTGTCAAGACCTTTGTCTCATCCACATTTAATAGCTGTTTTCTGGACTCAGGCAGTAAACACTCAGCATGAGTTTGGGGGTTGAGTCTGAATGGTTACATGACATTCCCACTGCACAATCAGCTCGTGCATGTGGTGCCATCGGAAGATGTCAGAGAAAAAAGGCCTCACAGACCCATATGACAGCAGTGCCAACTGGCAGCTTTGACACTTTCACAATCCAAAGTGTCCTAATAGCTGACATGCATGGACAGTGAAGTAAAAAGCCAGTTTTACTAGGATTACTTTTTGGTATTTCTGAGCATTTTGGAGAACTTACAAATGATGAACTCATATTAAATGCATATTTACATTTATTCACTTGCAGCAATCTGTGTCAGTGAAAAGGGATGACATTCATGTTGCAGAGAGGAAAGTAAAGCTGTAGAGTTGTGGTTCCTAACCTAAGGTCGGGACATCCACAAATGTTCATAAAGTAAATCTAAGAGGTTTAGTGATGATGAACAGTTTATGAAAGAATAAACAAAATTGTTCTGCACAAAATCCTGTTTATGTTTTCAGACGTTCTTCTTATATCTGTTCTTTCTTGTTAATTACTGGATAATTTTACAGCTTTTAGTCTCTAAAAACTATTTACATAAAAGAAGAAAACCACTGGTTGATTACTCACAACCCATTTACACATGCAACTAGTGATGGAGCTTTTTCTGGAGGTGCAGGGCTCTACGGTAAAGTTAGTTGCGCAAATTCTTTTAAAATAGAGCTTGCATGGTTAACATTGTGAAATGGTTGCAGTTTTGTTAGGTTTAGGCACAAACATGATTAGGATTATGAAAAGGTTGTAAATTACATTACTTACTTGATGAAACATACATACTGTTTGTTTGACATACCATCCACCCTACCACCTCTATATGCAGACTGTCTCACTACGTCACCTGTCTCCGAAGGTAGCACGTCCAGCCACTGAAAGGCTGCAGAATTTTACTGTTGCTGTTGTCAATTGAATCTGATCAGATTCAATCTCATAAAAATAATACCCAAAGATGGTTTTAATTTTACAAATATGTACCTATGGTGGTTGTTTTTTCAGTCACAAACAATTCATATGACCAAGAAAACGCAAAATCTTCCTAATATAAGTGGTTTTACGTTCCTAAAACAAATTGAAAACTTTTAAAGATTATTTCTTGATGGGTTTTAAACATGTAAAACAATTCAGAACAAAGTCTAAAAGCACAGCAGCATATACAAACAGCACAATAAACCTGTTGAATGTTTACAGTCAGTTTGATTCTTGATCATTTCGGTTTTTCTCATTCAGTAATATGAAAGGGCTAAATTATGTCTAGGAACAGTTCATTATCGCAAAACCCACGAGAAATCTGCAGCAGAATTATAATAAATGTTAAGTGTTGACAGAAAAAGTCCACAAACTTGGCAACGAACAAGCAGTCTGCTTCTGCTCTGCCACCACCTCCCTTATACTGACTCCAGTGCATCTTTCCTCAGCACAGTATACCGTGCCAGTGGTGACCACCGTTATCATGTCCTCCTACGCATCATCATCACCATCACCATCATTCACCATCATCATTCTTTTCGTTTTCACTGTCCAGCCCACAAACTTCCAGCATGTCCAAATCTGCTGCTTATGTAACCATGCAGATGATTTAGCAACCAGTGACCACAGCTCGCATCAAAGCCCCAACGCTGAATGGAGCTGTATTACTGTTGCTGCGTGCATTTCTGTTTCCCTTCACACACTTTAACGGAGATTATTTAACCTCAAGAATAAATGTCTGGCAGATTGTATGTGAGCAATCCGCACAGCTCAGTCGGCCATGCATGAGAGCCGATGTTGAAATTGATTCTTGGAGTTCATGTATCAACAGCGTTAATCTAATGTGTACGTTTTGGACAATTCTGCGTATTTTTATTCTATTTAAAAGGCTTTTACGCATGATCGTAAAGCATGACTGCGCTGTAGGCTACAGCTGAGTAAACTCTCAGTGCATCACTCGACGTACAATCTGACACGTCGTGAATAAAAGCTCCATCAAGCGGACAAAGGTGAGTCCGAATACCTCACGTTAACAATCTATTAGCTATATATTGATAATGATAGGAATGGGAAAGCACGACGCGCGTGGATGGCCTAATGAAAGCCCGCTGTTGCACTATGAATCCATATTCTTCACATCCAGATTCTTGACAGAAGGACAATGCAGATTAAGTGAAGCCAGTAATAGATGCTCACACTGGTGTTCACGTTTATAATGGATTGGGGACATTACAGCATATTATATTAATGCACATGCCTCGACACTGTAATCCATGCAGATACAGTCGAAATGACCTCGATAAACACACAACGATGAACAAATGCACTGCCAACTCTACACTCATTCTACTCAAATTGCCCAGAAAACATGGAAGTAACACAAGGCATCGCACACAAGTCACACTCCACATCGGCGCGTCATACCCGGAGAATAAATCCAGCAGCAGCGCAGGGGTCCGAGCTGGAATACTCTCCCAAGTCAATCCCTGAAAGTGTCTTCTGGCTTCGGCTTCGCTGCGGAGCACCAGACACAGCGGATCTCCGGCTCTCAGTGAGCGCAGCTGAAGCGGCTGTCAGGTTGACGTTGGAAGGCAACCCACTACTTCCTGTTACATCATCACACCCTAGCCTACAGCCGAGGACCTGGGAGCCCGCACGGTGCAGGGTGGCTTGCCACTGAACTCCCACGCAGTCTAATAGAGACTTGTGAGTGCAGTTTGTGGTTTTAAAATGTGGTTCATACAGTCCACCCTGCCCCCCCCCCATGCAGATGGTTGGGATGCAGTGTCTTACCCGTGGGCACTTCAGAAGATACATTTGATAATGATGTCATTTTTATTGTTGAGGACTTTTAGCTGTTGGTCCACATTACTATAGCATATTACTGGGTGAGGAATAAAGGCAGGGCCGCATCCAGAATTTGAGAAATACTGAGCGTATGTCTAAGGTCCACCCCACCCCCCTCACATTGAGGTCCAGTGTGTAACATTTAGGAGGATCTGTTGGCAGAAATGGAATATAATATTCATAGTTTTTATTAGTGTATGAGCACTTGCAAATTTGTGTTTTGTTACCTTAGATTAAACCCTTTTTTTTGTAAACGCTTCGCCTTCCATGGAGGGCGCCATGTTGAACTGCCACGTCTCAGTAGCCCAGAACAAACAAACCATACATTGGCTCAAGATGGGGACATTCATGTTCTTAGCATGTTTGATGGCCACTGTAGTTTCTACTTCGCACTCCGAATGGGAGGGTGAAGGGAGGGAGTTGCAATCTTCAACGACACCACAAGATGCCACTACATCCACTACAAAATGAATTCAAATTTCAATACATTTAGTCTAAAAAAAATGACTGGATTCAGCCTATAGAATATATACCTAGTCTAAATTTGATAAACCCCCAAAATCCTTGACAAAATAAACAGACAAGACCTGACCTCAGTGTCTTCAGTGGTAACTGTGGTCCTGAGGAGAGGCCAACATAGGGAAGCTTTAAGGTTGCTTGACACAGTTGGCTTTCATTTCATATCTTTAAATCTGCTTGTGGGTTATTATTTAAAAGGGATGAACATTGTAGTGTACATTATCTTACTCTCATTTGAATTTTTCACAGTTGTTGAGGTGATATTAAAATCATTTTCATACACTGTTCTTTGTAATGGGAAATAAAACGGATAAAACCTGAGTAAAGACAAGAAGATTGTTGAACTTTATTATATAAACCCTTACAGTCCAATACATTACAGCATGGTTATAAAACAAGACACATAAGTGAATACTGTGCAGCCAGGAGACAACCTCTTTGAAAACTTACTTTACACAACACTGCCACCTTCTGTTTCTCCTAACCAACAACACCAGCAGGACTGCAATAGTGATTTACGAAGCTGCATAATATTGATTAAAATAAGGCTTCATGTTTAATCTGACAAAAATAAAGCAGTCATTACCTTGTTCACATTGATTTATAGCTGTGAGGACAGGGTCATCTTGATTAATGTGTTTGCTTGAGAAGATTCTATATATTGTTGTCGCTGATCCTAGAATAAAGATTGTCGATTGTCGACCAGTTTAATTTGCTAATGCTGTTGTTCTCATTGATTAACAATCGCGGAGCTTTACCGAAACCACTGTATAAAAGCATCAGTTATTGTATATACAGTACATAGTAAATATGCAGAATCATTCATTTTGTTACTGAGCAAAAATCTTGCTGCTTGCTTGCTACAGTGAAATGTTTACATCAGTATGATCATAACAAAGCCATAACACTGTAAAATTAAAAATATATTGTTCATACAAAAGCATTGATACACAGAGCGTCAGTGTAGATGGTTAATAGAGAGCAAAACAAATGTGTTTTTTTGTCAATGACATATATTGAAATAATGTAGATAATGATGATAATTGCACTCAGTCACTAAAAGGCTAATTCTGGTACACTAAAATGATTTTTATACAAGTACTGTAGCACTACAAAACAACAGATATGAGTAAAGCTAAAACTAAAATATGGACATAAATACATGTGGTTCCACAGCAGTGCAGGATCTGATGCACAGCCAAGTGTTTAGACTTGGCGAACAATGTTGTCTAAGTTTTTCTTCCTTATTCGGATCATCTTCTTCTTGTGAACTGTGACAGAACAACAAAAAAAAGATATCATTTTTAAAATAACGTATAACTAGTTTTGGTTAAAAATGAGACAAAAATTAACAGACTGTAAAAGTACATTCTTTTTACCATTAAAGAAAGTTAAGTAATGGATTCCAAACTATTTTTTTTTATTACTATAATGGAAATAATGATCTCTTAACATAGTCATACCCTTCCTCTTTCTGATGCACTTGATAATACAGTCTTTCCTGTATTTGAAGTTGTTCTCGTTTCCTCCACAACCACTGTAAGAAAACATCTGGCATCTCCTGGTCTTGGGGTTGTATGCAAACCTATTCACCTCATCGTGACATGTTCCTCTTTCCACAGGCCTGAAGCACAGCTCTGTAAATCACAGCAACAGCCAGAAAAATGTCAACGTTTTAAACAGTTATTATAATTATCAATTAGTGTTTCCTTATAAGTTGGGACCTGAAATGATTTATAAAATTCTGTATTATCTTATCATCCTTTAAAAGATCATAGAGGGTGGAGCATGCTTGTTTGCTTTTCACAAACATCCTCTTAGCTTTTATCTCCACGTGGGTTCATGTCCTCACACATTAATGGATTTTGTCCATTGCTGCAGGCTCTCAGACTTAAAGATTCTTAAGATTTGAAAAAGTGGAAGTCGTTATCATGGCCTCCCACAGGGCTGTGCAAGCTATCCTCTTTGATTTACTCTCTAGCTTTCTTCATGGTGAGAAACACAGCTGCAGACGGGTTGTAGGAAAGCTTGTTAGCAATCATGAGTGGTTTTTCCCACAACTGAAGGACATGATTTTTATCGATAAATACTATGATTACAAAGATCAAATATTTACCTAATTATTACTTCATTTGTTGGGGTCAACTACAACAATTAGTGCACTTAAGGAATGGATTAAATGCGACAAAGCTGTCAATAAATATTGACATTGTGTTAATATGGATTTTATACAATAGTTACAAAGCATCAGACATTATGACTTTATAGATGTGATAACATCTATAAACTAAAAGAAAAAAATCCCCTTTGCTCTTCAGTTTAAGAATTATTAAATGAGACAAAAAACACTAAAATATAATATCTTACATATCCAAACATTTTATATCATGTCTCAAACATAATCTGGTGTAAACATAATATGGTGTGCTAATAGATAGATAGATAGATAGATAGATTCTCAATTCTGGCCATAATAACAATATATTATAATAACTTTTTGTCAAACTGCACGAATAAGTTAAAAATATTTGGGATTTGTATTTCACTGCAAAACCATTTAGATTTCACTTCAGCAAACACAAAACTCCATAATAGAGAGACTCTGGTATGTTTTTGAAGCCCAAACCCAGAGCTGCCTTTGTTTAGGATTAGTATGTTCCTCTATTTAGACACATGGGTCAACATTAAAGCTTCTCCGACTGATACTAAAAGTGTACATCATCGTATAACCACAAGATGTCAGTCTTTGGTTTCAACACAAACATAAGCTTGGTAGAATGACACCATAATCGAGATGTATGGCAATTCTGTAATGCTCATTTTCCAGCTCCATTTTAATCTAGAATTAAAAAGCAACATTTGTGTTACTGACATACATCTTTACCAAATATTTGCCTCTAAAGCTGCGTAATTTAAGATCTGAATAATTCATTGTTTTTCTTTCATACCAGAATTGTGAGAGATATTTTTGTCACATACTAGAGATGGAATCATAAATAAAAAAATGAAAAAATAAAAATAGATAGATTAGGAAGCAGGACCATTGAGGCTAACTCATCCTGAATCTTTCCCTCTCTATATTTTCTGACAAGAGTGAAATTGAATTCTTAAAATGATAACTCTTTGAAAAAGTTGAGGGAAGCAGGCCAGGTTCTCCCTGTGGTCACCTGCTGCGGCACAAAGGAGCCTTGGGACACAACAACCATGATATATGCTCCCTCACTCCTAATACACAAAAAATTAGTGGAAATATGTGACAAATGGGCTGTGGGAAGGAGACACTGATGCACTCTGTTTCTGGCCTTTGCCTTGCACAACAGAAGCAATTTCGCGAGCTGTCTACCATCTATGCATCACTGCACTGTGGCATTTTATTTTATTTTATTACAGTTAAGTTATTGGCAGCATACACTGGTTTAATATATGAACTGGCTTTGCTTTCCATGAGGTTTAGGCAGAATTCAGAATTCAGCACTGAGTAGTTGCCACTCTGAGGACATTGTGATTGATTTAATTATGCCTTACAACGGTTAATCTATCCCAAATGTCTGGTGCTCTGTGATGTCTGCAATGAATTAACTTCTTCTGGCTTTGTGCCTTGCTGTCTGCATTTATGAGAATTTTTCTCATCTTGGAAGTAAATCTAATATTAGTCTCAGTTTATTTTTCCTGACTTATTACGATTAGGAAGATTAGTCTCGCTGTGGCTAATTAAAAACTGTAATTAACCAAAGTGGGGTGTAATATTCCGAGACAAATCTCAAAATTTCTAAGATTTAAGTTGTAAATTTATAAGAAAAATAGCCTACTAATATTTACGAGAACAAAAACTTGAATATTCATATAAATGTCTCAAAAATTTGTGTTTTACTTTACTCTTAAATCATTTTTTCTATTCAAAATGAACAACATTTTTTGGGAATATTATTCCTCCTTGGCTGCGTAATATAGCCTATTCTTTGGAATGGCCCTGATAAGCTCCCGTATTAATATTTGCTGTTGTTACTTAGACTAAAAAAGTTTAGATGGAAAGCAAGGCAAATTTCTGTCTCACATCATAACGCAGGACCGTTTGCGTAGTCCATGTTTTATTTCCCCAAACAGCCAGTGTACCAACTGTAGAGTTTCTCTTCTCTTCTTTTCTCCAGTCTCTCCTGCTCTCTTTTCCTCTTCTGTACATTTATGAAGTGACGCTACATTCATAAAGCCCTCAGGCAAGTTAAATAATTTTGTTCTACAGTTGAAGCATTTTTCAACTCACGCAGACATGTTTTCACCTCATTTTGCACCTGGAAAATATGAGTTTATTCTCGCCCACTTGCGTCTTTCCATTGACGTTATATGCAATCATGCCACAGCTCTTTCTGAACACACTTTAAGTCATATTTTCTTACCTTTCGACTCTTGATTAGTGTCATTCATTTGCACCTGAGGTTCACTGACAGTCATTTCCCCTGACAAACAAACACATACATCAAGGGATTAGTCATTTTCAAGAGTTTGGCAAATAGATTAATTGTTTTCTTTCTCAGAGTGAAATGAAAGGAGACCCCTACCACTTTCATGTCTGTGTGTAGTTACTCAAAATAGTAATAATATTACAGTAATATTAATTACTTTCCCCAGTAACTAGTAGTGTAACTAATTACTAATACATTTCAGTAATAATATTACAGTTAACACCTCCCAAAAAAATATACAACTTTTGAATAAATGAGTAATAATAAATTACATTTTTAGGGTAACTAGCCACTGGTGTTAAGTATAGAATGGGAACCGGTAGCTTAGCTTAGCTAAACCTGGTTCAAAACTCTTACTACCAGCACCTACAAGGCTTACTAAGCAACATGATGTATCTTGTTTATTTGAGCCATACACAAACAGAAATGGGAAAAAGACAATTTGTGGTTAAACTTTTGTGATGTAACTATTAGTACTATTGGCTACGCTAATTGCCTCCTGGCTCTATCTCTTTACTTAACAGACAGACATGAGAGTCTTCTCATCTCCCTCTCAGAAAGCAAGTGCAAGTGAAAGTATATTTTCCAAAATGTTTAACTCTTTATTTTAAAATGTATTTTATTTTATTTTGAGGAGGATTGCACATTTTACATGTAAGCACATAATTCAAACATTGAGCATAGCCAGTTCAGACATCCCAGCTACATCAGCTCTGATGTCAAAGCCAGCCCACATCAGCTGATTCCCCTCTATGTATCCCCCCTCATACAGGGCTCCTTATTTGAGCTGCTTTAGTCTGCCTACTCTTACTGCTTCCTTTGCAAGGGTTCCTCGTTTGCAACCTGCCTCAAACCCAGCTCCTCCTTTCTATGCTGCGTCTGAGTTAAGCAACGTCAGTTCTGCTGTCATTGATGCCTGCTCTGTCCTGCACCCTACGACGGGGTCTTTGCTCTCCCTGCCTTAGGCTTTCTATGTATGCACATGAAAGAGCAGGGAGGTGTTCTCTCCTTGCCTTAGGCGTTCCACCTATGCACATGGAAGGGCACGGGGGTCCCAGGACAGAGCGATACTGCCAAATATAACTTACTGCAGCTGGAAAGAAAGGTTTTCTTTGACTATAAAGGTCCTAACCTGAGTTACACACAATTGCAAAACTGAATACGTAATGTATTGTGTGTTTGAGTGATTTATTTGGATACACTGGTGTATTTACACATTAACCCCTTATACTTGAAGTATAGTGTGGTGTGCATTCAAGCTTACCAGTTAGTATGGTGGGCTGCACAACACTGGATTCTCTAGCAGACTGTGTTTGGACTTCTGGTTCCTTAGTGGGTTTTGCTATATTAAAAAATAAATAAAAAAAGTAACATGAGAGCAGCCATGGAGACACTGAGGTGTGTCTTACATTGGCCTATATTTAGAACAGATCTCATTAAACCCCAGTGATCAATCATAATTAATGTAGGTTTAATTTCATTAGTATCAGACTAGAAAGGCTGTTGGTCTGCAAACAGATATCATCTACTAATGAAACCAGACAGAGTAATCTATCTGAAATTGTTATCCAATAAAAAAAGCTTTTCCAATTGATTTTCAGTACAACATAGGCCGTGGGCAGAATTGGTCACAGTTGAGCGACTTACTCGTTATTTTCTTTGACAATTTCAATATCTAAATGACTTCTAAGTCGTGCCTAAGTCTAGCATAATTGAGTGTGCTTTGGTCACTTAAAAACGATTTAAATGCTAAATCAAGGTGGAATGTGATTTCATGGTCAGCTAAAATTCATCAGAAAGTTAATTTTCTGAGGTAGAACTATTTTGATTATGTCACCACTCTGAAATGAGTTTCCATTTGTTGAGCAGCAACTGCGATCAACTGTGCCTTGACTGTCTACAGCCCTCTATATAAATAAGTCTATAAATTAAACCTTACATACTGCTTTGAGGTAAAGGCGGGAAAAGTAATTATTTAAGTTTGGCCAAATTAAAAAGCTTACTATGACAAGTTAATGGCATGGACAACAGTTACAGATCTCGGTTCAGACATCTACACATGACTTGGGGATTTGTCAGCTCTTTTTTTAAGATACAGTCCATTTTCCACCAAATGACTGCATCTTTGGAGCATTCACAGCCAGGCTTAGTGGGGCTTTCAAAAGAAACTCACAATGCTGCTGTCTGGACAACTTGGGTGTCAGTCTTTACTGTAAAAGGACAAAAGTTCAACTTGGCCTACCTGGGTTCTGACATTTCGCCTGGCACAGAGCCATGCTCCTGAAATTGTTGGCATTGCCGAAGCAGCCACCATAATAGAAATGCTTGCACTGCTGAGTCCTGTGGTCAAAGAAGTAGCGTGTCACCAGCCCCCGACAGGGGCCAGGAGCTTCGTCCAAATGACACGGGTTCTTGTCCTCTAGGAAAAGGAGAGTGAGAACAATTGTAAGAAACTAAGAAAAGACTCCATTACAGCACTTTTATTCAATATTATACACAATCTCTATAGCAGGCACTGAACCCAAAAACTGCCCCAGGGGTGCTGCACAGATACACTCTGACCTCTCTGGTGTAATGCATATGTATATGTGTAACAACATTGCTTTTTACATATTGAGTTTTGGTCTGAAATCTAATATTTTTCTGTTTTGAGTTACTGAAAAAAAAAAGTTGTAACTAAATTTATTGGGGGTTTTTTTCACTTTCTCTCAGTTTTGTTCTGAACATGAAGCTCCAGTGATTCTGATTGACTTTCTGTAAGAGAGTAAATTGAAAGCACAACAGAAGCGAAAACACATGACGTACTTCACTGCCTCGATTGAGTTTCCTCTCAGTTTTGCTGCCATAGCATCTAAATTTTACTGATTGGTAAATTGCTTTTTAAAGTATGAAATATCTCAAAGAAAGACAGTGATGGTTTTTTTGCTTATATACAGTATGTATGATGCAAGGCTTTGAGCAGTGAAAGAACACTGAGTTCAATACAGTCCAATAAAACATGTCTTGAAAAGAAAACTCCAGCGGCCCTACTTTGGGCCTACCTAACCCTACCACAATAACAAAGACACAGGAAGAGAAGACACTCAAAGCCTCCAGAATAAAGTCCAATAAATGGACAGCAGGCCATGGTCACTGCTAGCCTACTTCCTATCTCCCCAGCAGTACAGTGACATTTCCACTCCAGTCAGGTTTCAGATTCTCTCCAAATCTTCCTCTGCAAGCTGAAGAGTCAACACTTCCAGCAAGAACGTCCTTATGTTCCCGTGTCCCCAGTGAACCACATCGCCTCCTCTGCCACGTCTCCCTTCTCTGCTTTCTTTTCTGTCATATCTTTTCTATCTCTTACCTCAGCTCTCACTTTCCATGTTACATTTCTTAGCACTCGTTGCATATATTATCACCCCCCAGGTCTTGGAGTATTGGGATCAGGGCATTACAGATCTAAGCTACAGTTTGACGTTAATCTAAATTGTGCATAAAGTTGATGTGAGGTTGTTGTAATAGTAGATTTTTGTTTCCTGTTCGTCTGCCTTTCCTTGATCACAGTTCTTATTATTTGGCAATCCAACCATTATGCAATTGAAAGGGAAATTCTAAAGTTAAGAGATTGTTCATTCTTCAAATCTGTCAAACAAACTGCATTCAGATTCTCTTTAATCTGACATCTGGAACCTTAAATGTTATAACCGTCTGCTGTGTGGAGCACTCACAAGCGAAGACAGCAGAGTTGTTGTAGGGGGTTGTCAGGAACCCTGCTGTTTATTTGAATAAGCCATCACGAAACCTAAAAGATTTACAAGATAGTGACAGGCTCAGGCGTGATTCGAGTCTGTAACACAATCCAAACCGAGGTGTGAAACACATTACTTCCAGTGGACTGCCTCATTTTCTAACGGACTTTACTGGCATTGTCAACCAAGACAGGTGCAACCTGACAGGCCATGACTCACTGATCAACATTGCTCAACAGCAGAGTTCAATCATGGCGATTGTACTGGGCTTTACAGTCCACCACACAGATGGATAATGATTTATGTATCAACAATATCACAGTTTCATCTCCAGATACGTATACAATTATTAAAATGTCTGTAATACAGAAAGTTTTATAATGTTATGCTGGAGGGTAACACATTCTCTTCATAAATAAGGCATCTTCACATTTAAAATAACCATGGTCAGGCATTTTACTCTGTAAATGTGTAGTCCAAAGATTATTGAGGGAGTGAAATAAATAAGTAAACCTCTTCCTACCTCACTGAACCACTGTATTAGTCAGTATACAGACTCATGCTATGAACCCAGACTTTGATCACAACCTAAAAACTTTATTTTAAATTCTAGTCGAGATCACAAAGTTTCTAAAACTACAAAATATGCCAGGCTGTATTTTGGCGAGATGTATCTAAAATAAAGAACAGTATAGGATGTTTTCAGTTCATGGACTGTTGCAGCCTGCAAAGTGTGGAGTTCAATATTTCGATATATTATAACAACCATAAAGTTACGTCTTGTAGCTAGGGTAGTTAAAGGGCAAAGATGCATTTTAATGAGTTAAAATTGAATACATTGCTCTATATTGATAATAAGGCTACACAATGCAATCCTAATTACAAATCTGTAGAACATATCAGTCTGAGAGGACGGCAAGACTGCAGATAGTTCACGTTTTTCACAGTCTATTGTTCTTCACAACAGATGGTCATAATGTTATAATATCTATTTCCCATTTATATTATGTAGTCTGCCTTTATAGGTGTAACTCAATAGAATTATTTAAAACAAAACCATCTCAAGTAAGGTTTACCAATGTGTTCATTAATATACACTAAATGAATAAAGACTTTAATGTGCATATTGCTGCTCTTGCTTTCTTCACATCACAAATCTACAGCTGGCTCTATCACCTAATGTACAAAACAAAGTAACAAGTAATATTTGTACATAACAGTCTGTAAAGGGTGATTGGTTTACAGCAGTTAACTCAGTAAACCAGAGTAAACAGCTGATTTTTTGTTTTTAGTAACTAACTAACTAACGAGCTGTCTAATTTAAAAAAGCAACCAGATGTTGCAGTTCAACATTTTGGGAAATCTGTTTGTTTGCTTTCACGAGTGAACCAATACCACTCCGACGTCTGTAGGCTAGCTTTAGCCAGTAGCTGCTTAGCTTAGCACAAAGACTGGAAACAGCTAGCCTGGCTCTGTACATATTGGGAACTAGTGGAGACGAGAAAGTGAAAAGCATCCTTCCCAAAACGTCAAACTACTAGTTCTTATAAGACATGCAGCCATCATGGGTTTACAAACTAGACAGTGACAATTAGCTGACCAGACAGAGTGATTTATGGCCCAACAAGCACAGAACACAAAATCAATCACACTTGTTAGAAGCTAAATTAGAATTCTGTTGAGACTTCTGACTTCTTACCTTTCTAAACCAAATGTGTCCCAACAGATGGGAGCCTTTTTAATCTGGCTGCCAAAGGATGTCTCCGTTTTATTTGGTTTATCTGTTATGTCTTTGTATGACCACACTCCACTGAAGGGTGACCGTGATTAAGAGGCTATCATGGCAACATCTAAATACATTTTATAAGGTGACTTTGACTTAAAAGCATGGGCAAAGAGATGTGTCAAAGGGTAGTCTAGTACACTCTCTGGAGCAATGCAGTAATGAATAATTCCGAAACACAATTCTCTATCAAAGCAGTGAAGGTGGAAGAGGTGATTTGTGTTTTGAGGAGAATTATCGGTCAGCTCTTTTTTCAAACGCTGGGCGTGAATCATACGGTCCGTTGTTCCAGAGAGTTTTGGCTGCTCTCCAAAGAGAACCTAAATATTTCAGCAAAACAGACTTCAACATTTATGACCGGCTGAGATGATTGTGAGGGGGAGTCCTGTTTGTATATGAAGAAAACATATTTTTATATTTTGTGTCTTTGAGTGTGATACCCAGAAAGATGAGCTTTGAGGACAATCTACAATGAATCCATTGAAAACTAACAATGTTTACAGCAGCGTTGCATCACCCCATCCATGCCTTATCTCTTCACTTTTACAATTTATTTCTCACTGCTTATTTCCTTTCTTCAGTTTTTTTCAATATATTTCAGCATATTTTGAATGGTTGTTGTTGTTCTGCCTCTAAAAGTGCTGACAACATCTTGGCCAGGCCAACTGATCGAATGAAATAGAAATTTAAGCTAAAACACAAATGAACTCTGGCATAAAAATAACAGTTGCCACTGGATGGAGACAGATGTTATCCCGTTAAATAGACATACACTGACCTCAGCAGTACTATCTGCCTATCCATATTCCATAAATAGGACTATTATATTGCTGACCACTATGTTATGATGTTATTGTTTGCATAAAGTAAAGTGGCACATAAATCTGGAGGGATCGAAGCTCCGACATCAAAGAGGGTTCAGTGTTTTTTCTTTAAAAATCGTTTTTTTTGTCTAATTAACAGCCCCAAAACCCTAAACTGTCAATTTATTATACATTACCCAGTGAAAAACAAAAAAATCTCACAATCTATGAGCTGGAACTACAGGGTTTGTCTGGTGTTTTTGCAAAAAAAACAAAAAACAAAAAATCTTCAAAAACAAATGATCAAAGTAGCTGTTGTTCATTTTCTTTGAATTAACCAACTAATTTTTCCAGTTCTCCAAAGTCAGCTCACCTTTTTCCAGTCCAAATTTCCTTAACAATCTACCCAGTTCTGCCATCTCCAGCAACATCACATTATTTGTGCTGTTTGCTTTTCCGCCCCTTTTCTCTTCTTGTTTTTTTTTAACGATGTCTGTGCTCACAGACTGAGCACAAGCCTTGAGTTAAGGACAAAAAAGTTCAACTGTCACAGAGAAACACTGTGTTTGTGTTTCTGACCTCTTCAAGCAAAGCTGTAAAAGGGACATCAGACCAAAGGAAGACTTTGGGACACAATGGTTATGACTCATTGGGGTTTCAGTAAAACGTCAGGACTGGAGAGAAAAAGCCTTTGCCAGGCTCAGAGATAAAAGAAAATAACATTCCAGACAGTAAGCCAGAATGTTCCTTTTGTCCTCTTGTGACCTTTACAAGAACATCCTTGTTAAGCTGTATGTGACTGTTTCATCACATGTAAGAAATATTGGTATCAGAGAAGCTATAACTACCTGATAGGAATATCAAAATCTTGAGTGTTATAAACTAGATGATTTTCTATATACTCTTTGTGGGAATTAAAATGTCACTGATATGATGATAACAGCCCTGCTGCGTTTGCCCTTGAGATTTGCTCTCTGTAAGTTAGAAATGAGATGGCCTTTTTTAAATGTCTCCAGTTGTTATAATAAATATTTAAAATCTTTCTAGCATCACCACCTTGTTAGTGCGACTCCAATTAATTCAATAATTGAGTTAAGTAATTATGTGTTTACTGAGTACAAAGAAACACTGAACATCATACTGTACAGGCAAAGATAAAAACAAACAGATAATACTTCGGTGTCGGGTCATACTAAAAATATACATTGGTGTTATTTAAAACTGTAAGACTGATATTAATTTAGTTTTATTTTAAACACATTTACAGATGCATCACACTTAATAGACAAAATCATTAATTTTACTGTAGTGGAGTTCAAGGCTACTTCATTTTGTCACTAATTTGTTTGCAGCAATCACACTCATGTCTGCTGTTTGTAAAATACAGCTGTGTTCTAATTCCATACTCATTATATATACACTACGACCTTAATGTTTGTAGTATAATGCGTTTGCAGTTAGTATCCAAGAAATTAACATATATTATACTTTACACCCACAGTCAGTGATATAACATGCAACTTCGGCAAGGCATTGCCAATTCAACTTTAGAAAAAGAAAGCAAAAGGTTGTTTTGTTTGTTTGTTTCCTTTCCCCGAAGAGCTTTCTGTAGCAGTATCATCTGTAAATGTATTAATGGAAGTGGATACTGCTTTCAAAGGTGGCGGCTCATTTTTATGATAGTTGCTAACAACATAAAAAAAGCAGATTTTGGCATGTTTGTGACACAATTTTTCGGCTGCTGCTTTCCCAGTTATTGCGTAGGGAAGAATATTTTTGTGTCACCTGAAGATCCAAAAAGTTGCAAAACTCCACAGAGTAACTTTAATGTTGCCACCTTTTCAGTGTGAGCACACTACAGTGCACATAACACCTGCTTGAGATTAGGGCAGAATTGGGTTTATTTCTTTCCATTCGGGTTTTGACTCACCCAGCACACATGGAAGTGTGACTCAGTGTAGATAAAAGCAACCACAAGTTGTGATGCAACATGACGTTTTTTGAACCAATAAAAACAGTCACGACAATGCCCTTTGAATGCCATGGTACAAATGTGTACATCATCTTATAGCTTACTCCTACTGATGAGTAAGACTGTGCTCACGTCACCTTCACATTTGTCTCCACACTATTTTATTTGACATCACCTGTGGATCAGCTGAAGCTAGAAACATAAGTGTTTGTGTGGAGAGCGACGAAGGGACATAAAATGGAGGCCTCTACTGCATATGACAGTGCCTGCAGGACGCAAATGCATTCATGATCCTCTTGTCTGTCTGCATAATATACTCCATGGCATGCAATAAGAAGTTGAAGGTTATTCTTAGCCAGTGGGAAAAAGCACTTTGTCACACCACAGAATGACATGCCATATAAATAATTTGATATATGTGTTATTGCTATGAATGCAAAGGCATTTTTCATGTTGATCAGACAAGCTTGAGTATTAAAGATGTATTGGTCTCCTGCTGTAGATAACAGATACAGTGACATACTGTACGCAGCTGTTATGCCAGAGAGAAAGGTCTTATTCTGCCATTCTTCCAGTTTTCTTTCGCGAATGTACGGTGTTTTTTACACTCACACACGTCTCAGCACCTTAAGTGCTTTCGAACCAACCAGCACAGAACTCCTACTGTGAATGTATTCAACTACCAGGGGTGAAAGATCTAATTGTTGTAGCTTTGATTGCTTGTCAAGAGCAGCAGTTATAATACTGACATCCCACTTACATCAGCTAAGTGCAGTGTGTTGAGTGACATGTAGCAGCATAAGCATCCTCTTACCAACAATTGATTAAGGAAGATGCAACAAAGAGCAATCAGTGCATTCGGTCATTACGACTCTTACTCCATCTCTTTGTCATAATCACACACATTCACAACCTTCTACTTTTAGTCACCCACAGGTGCTCTTGCATTCTTATAAAACATTACATTTTAATGTGTGATCCAATAGCTTGCAGAAAGTAACTCACATCAGCACTTATTGACAATTTCGATGATTCATCTTCCAAATGCAATCCAATCTATGCATGGTATATCACCCACAATGTTTCAGGGTTCTGTGAGAGAAAATAAACTGAATCCCTGTTATAAATATCCGGATGTTTTCATCTGCATTATTTTGAACTCAACACTTACCTGGGAACACTGCCATAGCTCTTCTCCCCATGCATTCAGAATCCGGTGGGGGAAAGTATTTTTAGCTACATTTTTCATTTCACTCTAATTGAACTATAAAAACAACCCACAATCAGGAAGAAAGTCTTAGTTGAATGCACACCCTTCCCTGCATACAAACAGTACACACAGACTCAGAGACGCAGATATATACTGATAAACAAACAGAATAGATGCACACACTACAGATTTAGTTATGTTAATTATGTTTACTGCGTAATGTGTACTTTATCCTCCTTGGTTGACATTTATTGATTTGTTTATATGCTTGATTGATGTAATTATTTTCCAATTATAACTTGTATCTAATCTTATTGTATAATACAATGTTATATTGCTAATAATGAAGGGATGACTACCTGTTTTTTAAGGTGAACACATGTTTAAAAGGTTTAAAACTTCAGTACATGGGCGTCCTGGCCTATACTTTCTACAGTGCTTTCACATTTTGGAGAATTAAGTAGTTGTTCAATGCAATTAAAGCTTGTCTAAATGTAATTCAAAGAGATAGTATGATGTAACAAGTATTTTGTGGGGATACAGGCAACATGTAACCCCAGGACTAAAACATCTACTGTGTAGAAGCTAGTAATGGCTTCTTACCATAGCAGAATTCATTGTAATGGCTTTGTCCTGCGTTTCTCTGGATTGGGAGAACTTTACCCAAGATACACATTGTGAAACTCAATGGTTAGTCAACGAAACTTTTTCTCTTGTATAACCTCTTGGTTGCAAAAATGAGGCATGCAATTTTAAATATTGGTAATAAAAAACTAGTATTTGTGTATTTTGCTGTTGCACCCAATGGGTCTACTAGTCACTAATTAGCCATACCCTCTGAGAACTATACTCCACCTTTATTTCCAAGGAGTCCTGACTTTAAACCTGTGATCTGCTAACTGTAACTGCAATCTTATTCGCATCATTACACAGTGCTGACTGAGCACGATACCACGTGTGTAGCCATCAAATACATGCCACAGAACCGTCTGCCAAATACTCTTTTTCAAACAAGTCAGCTGGAAATGTGGGGAAAAAAATATGTCAGCTGAAGACTCCATCCAACTCATGGAATTAGCATTAATTAGCAGAGTAGCTGCAGCTGACAAAAGCTGCCAACAACAAGTGACATTTCAACCTGTGAAATCAACAGTTGCAGAATAAAAATGTCAAACCTGCTTTAGTCTACTTCTCACTGAATTCAAGGATCCACTGTTAACAAAAACACATCAAATTTCAACTGTCAAATCTGACATTGTGTCGACATTGTGTCGACATTGAAAAAGAATCGGTCCTAATTGGAAATGGCGTGTGTGCCACACTAGAATTCAAAGCTTGACGTGAATAGCAACAGGAACTAAGAGAGGTAAAGCTTATTCACCTACAGTGAGTGAGGTGAGCTTATTATTGACATCCGACTGAACAACTGCTGTTGATGGACACATAGTGGCAGTGGTTGGCCTTAGCATAAGAACTTTTCCACCTTTAAGTACGAGCCTCTTTGTCAGAGGTCCTTGCCTCTTTTACCTTATTGATGGTTATCAGATAAGTTTCCTCAAGGATGCACACATCCAGCATTCGTTATGAGATGTTTTGTTTCATTAAGAATTTCAGATTATACATTATCGTGTTGTGTTTAAAAATACTTAAAGTTCATTTTCAGACTGAGACATGAGAATCTAGGAAATCCAACAGTTTGAAGACTATGTTATTAGTTATCATCAATTAATTAAGCTTCAATTAATCATCAATTTAGAATGTGTGACCTATGAATAATACAACCCCGACCGTCTCTCTTAAAAGTGCCCATATTTTTCATTAAGCAGATGCCTCCAGGAAAACTGTTCAGAATTAATGTGCTGGCAATCTTCCATTTTAGCCGCATACCAACAAAATGACTCTGTAATAGGTTTTTTTGCCCAAGGTGGCAATAAACTCTAATGAGGAACAACAGTCCTTGAAAACAGAAGTGATCATTTGCTAACAACAACATAACAATGCAAAGCTACAATACATTCTTGTCCTATGTACTATTACGAAAACTAATCCTTTTTTCTATCCCTTTATATCTGTGACATTGGGGTGCCACTTCAAATAGAGAGAAATATGTTCCCAGAGTATGAAGGTGAATCTTTGTAGTCTTAAGTGTCAGCCAAAGGGTCAGACTCACCTGAGACAACACACGTTTCCTCACAATCTTCTAAGCTCTCGAAATTGTTGGCATTTCCACCACAGCCTCCAAATTCAAATAGCTCACAGCGTCCTGTGTCGACATTGAAGAAGAATCGGTCCTTAATGGCCTTGCATGGCCCTTGCTCGTTCTTCAGGGCACACAACTCATTGAAGATCAAGAGCTCCTGTTGCGCTCCATCTGTTGAGGTGGGGTAGAAAGACAACTTTTAATACTCTGCTTCTTCTGGCACTCTGAGAAAAGCATTTTGTGTGTGTGTGTGTTTGAGTAATGGAAAGAAATTAGGTCACAGCATCAAACTCTAACCCCGGGCTCTGAGATAAGGTGAAGTTGCATGCCAGTATAATTTCTAAAAGACTTCAGTGTATGGCTTGACAGCTTACTGTTTTTAGATACTCTGTTGCAGAGAAAGGGATTTGTTAGCAGGAAAGCATGGTGAGCTGTGTGACCTGACTGAACATTTAGACAGAATAATTAAAAACAGCAATATTGTACAGTCAGGAAAGCACCTCACATACAATTTTTTTTCTTGTGTTTCTAAAATGACTTAAAGTTCAACAAGCCTACAGGTGTGTTTTTTGTACTTGCAGTGAGTATAACCATCAGGGAGCATCTAAATCTACCCAGTACACGAAAACAGATCCAGGCAGGTGGCAGCTGGCAGGAGGAGGCTGAGTGAAAGCAGCAGAGATTTCACAGAATGCAGCACACAGCGGTAGTTTGCACTGCGGCAGATCAAGCATGCATACCGCACAGATTGAGAGACTGTATGATCAGAGTGTGTTTTAAATAATGTGCCTCGCAGTGGAGAGCATTTTCAATCAATGCATGTGTAGTGAATATTCTGCTGGACAAAGATAGAGGTCCCATTATTCATAATTGTCAAGATCAGATCCAGTTGTGGACAAAACATTTGCTCTGCAAAGACTCACTGCCGTCATTATCATTCATAAAAGCTGGCTTTGTCAGAATCAGGAAAGAGGTGACATGAAACCCTTTGAGCTCTACTAACCACTGTTGCAAATGTTAAATCACTATCTCAGTGTGCTGCTGGGAAATGGCTTTCTCTGTCCTCATCCCTGCTGTTTTTAGGTCAGGTCTCTGTTATGCCCGCCTGTAGATGTGCACTTACTTCACTGAGAAGACAGGGATCTCTGTCCAAAGGGATTTGCAGATGGACGATGCTTGAGTGACAGTGTTTAAAAATATCTTTCTGCATTGCACTTGTTGATATTCAATAACCTTAGTGTTATGTGATCTACCATTGAATTCTGCTTTCACTGAATTTTGTTCACTGTATCAGCACAGGGAGGAGAATGGCATAAAGAGGGAGAAAGGGGGAAAGGTTGAAAATGCAACTGAGGTGATGAGCTACATTGTGAAGGTCAGGTTTTTAGCCATGCTAGCGGTGTGGCTCTATGGATTGAAATGTTGATCAGTCAGTCGGCCCATTACTTTAGTTCAGACTGAAATCTCTCAACAACTATTAGATTGATTGCCATAAAATGTGGTACAAGCATTTATATCTTCCACAAGATGAACTGTAATAATTTCAGATAATAAAAGAATAAAAGTCAGAGGATAACCACCCTGACTTTTCATCTAGCGCCACCATCAGGTCAAAACGTCTTTCCAGTACACTGGTTTTGAGAAAATACTATGCAATTAATGACATTCCCATGAGCCTTAGCTTTACTTTGTATAGCTTGCCCAATCGTGGATCAATATTTGGCTTTTAACATTTTACAGTTACAACCTATCTAGTTCAAATCTAGTTGATCATATCTGTACTGCGATTTGTTGTTGCTTATCAGCTGGAATACATATACAGATAGTGATATATCAGCAGTAAAATATTAGTGGCCTGGATGATTTATGGGTCTAGATGCTAATTAGCAAATGTTAGTTTGCATAACACACTAAACTAAGATAAACATGATACCTTCTAAACATTGTCAAAGCACCTCTTTTCCTCTAGTACAGCTTCACAGAGCTTGGCTGTATATATATATATATTATCATTTAGTTTCGTAGTTTAATCATCATCCAATTCTATTTCTTTTTCCGGTGTGAAAAGGAAGCTTGGAAAACAAATATTAAATTCTCTTTCTTGTAAGGTACAAAGTTCTATCAAAGGACATCCTCTAATGGGAACTACCCTGCCCTGTCCTATCAGCACAGCAGTCAACAAACAGTCCCTCTGCCAGGCGAGGTAATGAGGGCAACAGCTCACCACTACGACCTGTCTTCCTCCTTCACTCTTCCAATTCTAACTTATAACCAGAGGTTGGGGACACCGATCAAATACTCCCAATCTCCTTCCTTCCGCCGACCTGTGGTATTGCTATTACATGTGGGAGGTGGGGTAAGGGCAGTGGGGCTTCCCTACAGAGACTTGTGGTATTTTTTATTTACGTTCTTGTCGTCTCTGATAAGCAGTACAAGATTGGGCTGTCTAGCAAGGGAGAAATTACACAGCTACACAAGCAATCTGGGTCTCTGTCTAGTACCCAACCCCATTTTGGCTATGCAAACGCACATTATTGCTGAACCCCACTGAACAAACTTTACAAAGAAATAATGACAAGTTGAAACTGTTTGCTCTCATTGGATGCCTCAAACTACCATGACATGGCAACAGATTTATTCCTTTTGGAAGAAAAACTGCAGACATGGTGCACACTGGTATGTTGTATGTGTTTTAAATAAGACTGTTCAAAAAGGCAGACTTTGGCCACCCAGGACGAGGGAAAAGAAACATGTTCTTTTTATTGATTTCTGCTTGTCTTGTCTGAGACAGACCAAAGTACAATAAGCAGTGTGTTCTTCAATCACTCATGTCCAATATCCAGACAGAGGCATTGTGAGGCAGTCCACAAGAAAAACAACAGAAGACAAAGAGCCAAATTAAAACATTTCCTCTGCAAGTAAACCAGAAATGTTCCTTGAAGGACACAAGCATTTTAATGTGCACAAAGTAAATCTTTTAAAAAGTGAAGTCAATTTTTGAATATGCAGACTGCAACTTTTGTATATTTAATACACATAAGGCCCAAAATTCAAGTGTGAATTTCAATAGAGCAATCACACAAATCATAGTACAATGCATAGCTGCTGAGGCTGTGGGCGAACCAATGTGACCCATGGGCCATTGTGAATACCCATAACTGCACTATGAATCGTCTTCCTGTCCAGTGAAGATGAATACAGAATAGAAACAATGTCTGTGTCCAATCCTCTATTTACATTTCTTATTGACATGTGACAAGCAACAACTCTGTGTCAACTCCACGATATAAAGTACTCAGTCTGTTCGTATCGCCTTGTGAACTGCAGCCGGGAATGCATGTTAAACAAATGCATAATATCTTTCAAACTGACATTCTGTCCATTAACCTAAAATTGATAGTTTTAATAAAATGGAATATGGACACAGGAAGAAGCTGTGAAGACTGATTAGTTACCAGCACCACCAGTCATTCGACACCTTACAGTGAGTGAATCAGTAATGGTAGCTGTATTAGAGGGCCTGGATCAAATGTGCTCAATGTTTGATTGCATTAGTTTGCTTCTTTAAATAGCTACAAACGTACTATTATGAGCATGTGTGTAAGTGTTTTTATTAGTGCTGTCAGTTAAACACGTTATTAACGGCGTTAACGCAAACCCATTTTAATGGTGTCAATTTTTTTATCGCAAGATTAATGTTCTTTTTGACCTAGTCAGTGTTACATTGTGTGAGAGATGTTGTTTTCAATAAAAAAAAAACATTTGCACAAAGCAAGCCGATCCACTTTTCCATGTTGATAAGAGCATTAAAATGAGAAAAAATAATGGGACAAAAAGAAATCAAGGGACATTTAGAATAGATAAAAATTCAATATTTTAATCGTTTGACGACACTAGTTTTTATGTATTTTTTGCAAAATATTTAGTTGGTATTTAATTTGCATGGTGGTAAAGTAGTTCTTTATCATTATACAGTGATGGGTTGCTTGGTTTGGCGTATATAAAATTCTCAAATAGTGGCTTACACAAGTCCAGTTTTGCAAACCCGCACATGCAAAGCTTAGTGCTGGAACCGACACATTAAGTCAAAGCCCCGGCCTGTTAGTATAAGCCCCCCAATCCGACCTATCATTAAACACACATGCTACCACACAAAGTCACACCGATGTCAATCAAGCTCTGTGCCAGTTTGCTGAATCCATCACCATACATTTTCAAATGATCTGATGTCAGGGGACAAATATATATATATATATATATATATATATATATATATTGCTAACTGGGTCATGCCATCCTTGTCTTGTCCGTCCTTGGCAGTTTGAGAGTTGTGCTCTTGGAAAAGAATCTGCCAAGTGTCACTGCTCCGGCTGCAGCTGTCTATGTCGTTTCCTCAGAGACGATGTGCCGAGCTTGCGGCTTTCACAATAAAATAAATCCTAGTAGCTAATTAGGCTTGATCATATTTGGCTCATTTAGATGTTAAAAATAGCTTGGGCAATCATTTTAATTTCTGATCTCTCCAGGAAAACATATTTTGTTCTCCCACCTGCATTCGGATCACTTTTACCAGTGACTGGTACCCATGAATTTATAGGAAAATATGTTTTACTTGTTACACAACCTTTTGTGCAGGTTACCCTGCAGCTACCCACGGGGGACCCGACACACTGCAGGACTCAGAGAGAGTCGCGAGAATATCCTGATTTCATTAGTACTGTAGAAATGCACATGGTAGTAATTTTACCATGTGAGCCACTGCAGTAGGCTGCAGATAATTTCAGTGTTTTTTTTACCCTTTGCCTTTATTAGCAACCACCTCTATTTGCTTTGGTTGCCCACACCCAAGCTATTATTTGAGGCTCAGCCATTATGTGAATGCTGGCCTTTATATTCAACCTTACTGTAGGCTATATGAGCATGTGATGGCATTTGCGTATCTTGGCAGCTTTATAACGTAGCTACTCTACTTTTAGTACACATTGCATGATACAGTTTCATACATGCAGTCAGAAGTACTAAATGCACACAGTGATTAAATATTAAAACAAAGAGAGTTAATAGCATGAACTTTTATTTTTTTCCTTTTTGTGGGTCCCACACCCATGCATGCAGAACTAGTCACACTCCTGCAGGCTGACATTTGTTAGAAGATGATGTTAGAAAGCCCT